ATTGAATTTCATCTGTCTCTGTAATCTGCATTGATCTAGGTATACAGACTTGCTTGACGGGTATTGCAGACTAGACACATCAAGATCTTTCCCATGCTGAAGATTCTGGAATTTTTCTGAGTGACTCAGTTTTACTTAGGTGTATCTATTTTAAGAAAAAAACAACCAAACCAAACAAACTCCGCATTATTTCAGAATTGATCACAGACTCATTTAAGCCAAGAAATTCTTTAAAAAGAACAACTTACTAAAATGTTACATTTAATAGCTTTAGAAAAATCCCTGGAGGGCCAAAAATATCATTGGAACATCTATTAATATTTACTCTTTAAAAGCATTTTTAAATAAGGACCTCAAGATTGCAGGTGAGTTCCTGTAGTTAACACAACAGATATTTTAAGTCAGTAAAGTTCCTTGTAGATTTGTCACTGTTTATTAAGTTGGGAACAAAGAAACCCAATACCCTTGCAAGCTACAAAAGAGAAGTAAGCAAAAATACACTCTCATTGCCCTCAGCACTTTTCATCTCTGAATTGCTGTCCAAAAGAGAACAATCTAGATAGTTGCTTTTAGCATTTACAACTCAATGCAAAATAGTAGAGTTGAGTAACTTTCTAAATTGACTTACTTTTCTCAAAGTGGTTGTGGGTTAAGAATCATTAAACAAGCACTTTTGCTTAGCAAACAGGTCTTTCAATATGATGTTGGGGAAAAAGATTATTTTATTTATTCTGTTGTGGTTTCTGTGGAATTTTAAGTGTAATAAAAAAAGGGCTGTTTGTTTGGATGCATGGAGTATTACATATATTTTTGCTATTCTTGGTTGTACTTTTCACCTAAAAAAACAGGGATTTTTGTGGGTGGAGTTGCAAGAAAAGGGAAAAGAAGGTAAAGAGGAAGTGTTCGAAATGATAGACTGCAAAGCAATAAACTCCTATCAGTGCATCTCAAAGGGATTTAGAAAGGCTACTTATTCGGCTTTGTGAGAAGTGAATCTGAGTAGCAGGGAAACCAACTGACTTCCCCCAAGGTCATTGGGCACAGCAGCAAAACACAGTTAGAGCCAGAGCAGTCAGTCTTTGGGCCATCTGCTTGAACAAGTTTTCTGCTCTCCTAGAGTTTTACCCACAATTCTCACAAATCAGCTAGCCTAATAATAATTAGGAAAACTAATTTACAAATAGTTGAAGGTGGAACAGCTAATGTTATCCTTTGCAATCAGGATGCTGAAAGACAGACAAGGTCATATGGTTAAGAACTGAAAAATAAAGAGAAACGAAATAAAGCCTGTTAAGACAACCCCACATCTCCAATATGAAACTCAATGTGAAGACTTTTTATAGGTAAAGTACAAAAACAGTTTAAAACGTTTTCTAGTCATAATTATGAGCAATCCTGAAATTCTCAGGAAGAAATCCAAACTTAAGATATTTAAAATACATCATAGGTTAAGTTTGTGTAATAAATCGGAAGAAAACAGCGTGATCTTGCTAATTAACAGCTATGAACAAGGGAATGTGGAGAGAGGAAAAAAAGGAATGAAAGCTTTGAGAGATGTTGAAAATAAGAGTTTTAGAAAAAACTGTTCATGAGACATTAATGCTGTTATAGAGACAATTTATCTAGAACTAGGTGTTCTAGGTGTTTCTCGTACATTCAAGAAGAACTGAAGAAGTGCTCAAGAGACGGGCTAGGGAGTGTGATGTGTCCAAGACTAGAATTGGCCTTAGGTACCGAGGGCAAAGAGATGTTCAGAATGACCTTTGCCTAACATCCAAGTGAAGGCAAAGGTTTAAAAGATGCGGACAATGTTTTCTTGGGTGTGCTAGCATTACTGCAAAGATCATGCTCTCACATTGCCAGCACAGTGTCAGCTCTCCCTGGGCTGCTGTTTCTAGACTGTCATTAGAGCAACTGGATTTGGAAGCCTAGTCACTGCTCCATCAAGTTACCAAATCTTATTGATTTAGAAAGTATCTCCCTCCTTCCACAAAAAAGTAAAAAGGCTATTGGTGAGGTAAATTAATCCATAAAGCATGTATTTATAGTATTAATGCCTCTTTGAGTACATGATAAGGACTATTTAGTAGCAACTCTTTCAATGAGAGCAGAATCAAAGGGAATTTCAGGAGAGTTGTATTTCTCAGCAAGTAGTTCAATGGAATTTGCTTTAAAATCATTGCCATGTAGCCAGGAAATTGGGGACACTGAATCACAAAACTATGAGACTCAGGAGCAATATTCTCGATGGAAATTTAATGTGGAGGGTGTGTGCGAAGGGGAAGAAAGAGAAATTAATTTAATTCCATGTGCTGATGTGACTGCAGCACAACTATTTTTAGGTATAATCCAAACAGCGCATATCTTCTCCGTTTTGATTAGTAGCAAATTGGCAGGGAGTCAAAAGAATTAGTGTTTCTCAGCACATTATGCCAGAAATGTCCAAATAAAACTAAATTATCTGTGCCAATGTGTTTCATTTGAATTACTGCTAAGGTTTTTATTTATTTATTTTTCCTTCCAAAGAACTAATGGGTCCAGTTTTGTTAAAAACAAAACAAAACAACTTCTCTTTTTTTCTTTTTTTTTCTTTTAAGGCTTTCTCAAATGGCAGCAAACCTAAAGAGAGTACTTTGGTTTTAGACCCTTGGTTAGAAGCTCTTGCTCAAAAAACTGAAACGTTAATGTCATCCTGATACTTTGGGTGCAGAATTTCCGCCTGGCGATTTCACATTGCCAGAGGAAGTTAGCATGGTCAACAAAACGCGAAATTAAAATAAGCTGGGAAAAAGTGCTTAACAAGGAAAGGTTTCACAATAGCCACTTAGAAGTTATTAATAATTCCAGATTCAAAGAAAGCATGGACCGAAAAAATAAAGCCCTGCTTGCAAAGTTTCATACAAGTCAGTTCACCAAGGGACAAAGCTACATGCTATACCAAGCATATATGTTTCTACATTGAAAGTGGGAATTTACAGATGCTGGAATATCTTGTTATACATTTGAGAATTTACAGTGTGCAACCTAAACATAACTTCCAAGGAAGCAAATCAATGAATCTTGATCATACTGAAGTTCACTGTTTTAATTTTAGAGCCTTCGTAGGGTACTTTGTTATACACAAACCCATGGAGGGACGTTGATTTTCTGCATATTCAGTGCCTCCCCACTTCCCTCCTTGTCACTTCTGTGCCTTATTTTACCAGATTAAATAGGGTTGGCAGTTTTCTCCTCCCACTGCTTTAGCTATTGAGATGGGAAGCCTAGCTTCCCACATTTCTATTATAAACGAAGGTCTGTCTTCTTCAAAAACAAGAGGTAGTTTTCATGGGTAGTTGGAATCTCAGACAGTCTGTTTCTGAATCCTTGTAATCCTGAGTTAGAGAACTCAGGAAACACCGAAAAATCTTTTTCTATTTCCTACAAATACATATAAACTGGTCCCAAGATCATAGTGGTTTCCTCTAATTCACAAAAGAGCTTAGACCTGTCTGCTAAGTACCTAAGTTGTATATGTTTGTTATTGAAGTTTAAAGGACTTTCATAATTTTAAGACCAGAGGGCTGATGAGCCTATATGTATGTCTTGGGCTGGGAGAATTTCTTTTTATTTAAATGTGAAGACTTCACTAGACAACATAAGGAAATGATCAGGAAACAGGGAAAGTGAAGCATTATTAGCCTGGTACTTCAGTACTCTTTAGATGAAATTGTAGGCATTGTTCATTAACTGTGTATTGTAATTTAAAATAAAGAGGGGCAAAACCCTTAACAAAATACATTTTACATACTTGTGGTAGGGGAAGGGAGGATAGAAATGACTGTATTTAGTTCCTAAGGAAAAGGATAGTGAGATTTCATCCTGAGATTGATTTTACATTCTCCAAAATAAGTTTCTTGAATAAGTACCTTTGTATTTTTAAAGAAGTCTTGTCATCCCCCTACACCCCCCCCCCACCACCACCACCGGCCTTTTTTTTTTCTGGACAAAGGGGTCAAATGTTTCTTAAAACTGCTACTGTTCCTGCAACCTTCTGCTAGTCTCTAAAACATCTGCATAATTGAAGTTTCTCAGAAGACTGTCTCCTGGTCTTCAGAATATCCCATTGCAGAAAAAAGGATAACCAGGATGAACTTCACTTAGTAGGGAGTAGTTTGTTCATGTTAAAGTTCAGGACAAACCCAAACTTTATACTCTTTCCTTTGGTTTCTTTCCAGCACGATCACGAATTGAAAAGTTTGTTTAAAAATACAAAGATAAATACTTAAATCAACTTATTTTGGAGAATGTAGAATTAATCCCCGGATAAAACTGCACTATACTTTCCTTAGGAGCTAATTTTTATGAAAACTCTCCTACCCATCGGGTGTCATAATTTTGTTAGGAAGTCTAACATTTTCACATTTGCTTTTACCTGTGACCTCCCCACCCAGAACTTCTGCTGAAATGGTCTAGTTACACAAGAGAAAAAAAATATTTACTTAAAAGCTCTCTTATAAATTTTTGCTTAACCATGAAAGCATTTTTCATTCTAAATGGCCACTGGAGAAATCTGCATACACTGATTATCTGTAGGCTGTGATTTTCTATTGGAAAAGAAAAAGTGGAAGCCACTTACCAGATTCCAAGGAGGCAGTTCAACAAGTTCCTCTTCTTTCCTGCATTTCTGTGCAAAATTGCAACTGAGTTACCTGGCTTGATCACTTTTCTTTAGGAGATGTATAATCCCAAAGGTTACTTCTTAAATCAAGTGCAGCAGATGGGATCTTGAAAACACCTACAATTAGTCTAGAATACCTTCAATCCGGTTGTGAAAATTTAGGGTGAGTCTGCAGCGTTGAGGAGGTGCGTGCCTTATTGTGGTCTAGAGGCATTTTGCTATGTTATTGAGTCATGAAAAGCTGTTAAAACAGCCAGCCCTATGGGAAATCCAGCCTATATTTTGAACAAAGCAAACTGTCTTTTCCATGATCAGTGACCTCTTACAGACACACGGTACATAATCTTGATTGTGCTTCATTGGTATTTATTGCACATGGACCAGTTCCTCACACAGTAGTTAGTTGCACCAGAGTATAAATACTTGGTAAAACACACAGAGGAAAATAGAATTTACACACAGGTGCTAAATTTTACCAGCAGATTCACGTGGGCACTTGGACATAAAAAATAATAAAAAAGTCCTTAAGATAATTATATTTATCATGTGGATACAGTTACAGTACCATGATAAAAGAGTATAAAAAGGTATTTTCCAATAAATCATTAGCTAAATAACATAATAGACAACAGAAGTAGAGTTTTAATTTTATTTTAGTTTTTAAGATCTCCCCCCCCCCGCCCACGTTTAAAAATATTTAATTTCTTCTTGTGCAAGTAACATCTTCTGTGGACTTTACAATTCCTAACACTGTGCAAAAATGGCATTTGAACCACTCCTTTTTTTGTTTTGTGTTCTGTTTTTACCCACACATTTAGTAATCTGAACTGTTTCCTCCTTGTTTTCTTTTTCTGTTCTGTCTTCAACGGACAGTCACATGTCACAGAGGCTCAGTGCCTGGTCCTTCCAACTAATATTGATACATAAATATCTGTTTAATATAAACAAGTCTTTCTATTTTGCTGTGCAACGTGCACAGTATGAGGTAGAAACCCCTCAGCCTGGCTACCGAGGTGCACGGGGACAGGAGGCTAACCCTACAATAGGAAAGCAAGGTGAGGCTTGTTCCAAGAATAGCTTACACTTTCTTCTAACGTGGTTTTTGCATACAGCCTTTCCCTTTGCTTTTAGGAACAGGAGAAATCATTACTCAGGAATGAAAATGCAATTTCTCTGGAAAGCAAACGGAAACATGTCCCGACACATTGTCATCCCGCCCCCACGCCTCTCTCTCTGGTTGACTGCTAGTGTTCCCGGGACGTCAAGTTCACAGACTTTTAGCCCCTCGCCCTACCCGGTAAGTGTCAAAACCACCTGGCGGGGGAATAAAAAAATCTAAGATGCATCATACGCACACACAAAAGAAGGCTGAACCTCAAACAGGAAAAAGAACACAAGAAAAATCAGCAAGCCGCTCTCCACCCCCTCCCCAAACTTTCCTTTCTGTGCAACGATCCGTGGCTTTTCTGTTTGTCTTGGATGATTCAGACGAGGCTTGTGGGCTTCGAGTTCACCTGCTTTCGGTCTTGAGTAAACACGTTGCTCTCTCTCCCCCACCTCGGGAAGCCATTCGGGGACGCCTGGGCTTTCCTCCTCCCCGCGCGCAGAGCCCGCGTCCCGGCCGGGAGGCGCGGAGGGGCGCCCGGCCCTACACCTTGGATTCCGAGGCGCAGCCCGGGCCGCTCGGCTCGTCCAGGCTCGAGTCGCTGTCCGCCGCCGCCCCGCCGTTGCAGCCCGCCCAGGGCTCCAGCAGGCGCGCGGGCGGCGTGGCCCCGACGTCGTCTTCGTAGTCCTCGTCCGAGGCGGCCCCGGGCGACGGCGGCGGCCGGGCCACCGCCAGGCAGCCGGAGGCGCGCGGCCGGTCCCCGGGCGCCGCGTGGCTCCCGCAGGCGGCCGGGCGCCCGCAGCACAGCAGGCGCTGGAAGGCCTTGCGGAAGTCGGGGCTGCGGCAGTAGATGATGGGGTTGAAGGCCGAGTTGGCGTAGCCCAGCCAGTTGAAGAAGACGAAGAGGCGGTCGGGCACCAGGTCGCGGTGGAAGGCTTTCACCACGTTGGCCAGGAAGAAGGGCAGCCAGCAGAGCGTGAACACGCCCATGATGATGCCCAGCGTCTTGAGCGCCTTCTGCTCGCGCAAGGCCACGAGGCGCGAGGGGCGCCGCTTGCCGGCGCGCCCGTTGGCCACCGGGGTGGCGGCGGGGCGCGGGGGTCCCGGCGAGGGCGCGGGCGAGGCCGGCCGCGCGGGGCCGCTGAGGAAGCGGCGCTCGCAGCTGTCGATCTTCTTCACCTGCTTCTGGGCCTCGCGGAACACCCGCAGGTACACGAAAGCCATGATGCACAGGGGCACGTAGAAGGAGACGACGGACGAGGCGATGGCGTAGGCCCGGTTCGTGACGAAATCGCAGCACTTGGGGTCGTTGTAGCAGCGACGCGCCTCCTCGCCCTCCGCCCGCCACCAGTGCATGAGGATGGGCAGGAAGGACACCAGGGCCGAGATGGCCCACACGGTGCACACGAGGGCCCGCGCCCGCGCGCGGGTCAGCAAGCTCTGGTAGCGGAAGGGCGAGGTGATGGCGAGGTAGCGGTCCAGGGCGATGACACACAGCGTCTCTATGCTGGCCGTCACACACAGCACGTCCACCGAGGTCCAGAGCTCGCAGACGAAGGAGCCGTACTCCCAGCTGCCCCGCACCACCATGGTGGCCCCGAACGGCACAACCAGCAGCCCCATGACCAGGTCAGCGCTGGCCAGGGACATGATGAAGAGGTTGGTGAGCGTCTGCAGCCGCGGCGTCTTGGCGATGGCCACGATCACCAGCACGTTCCCCGCCACGATGAGCAGCACGATGAGCGCCATCAGCAGGCCCATGCCGGCGGTCCACTGCTGCGACAGCTGCGCAGGGCCCTCGCTGGCCGGGGTCAGCAGCGAGGCGGGAGGCGACGCGGGCACCAGTAGTCGGGCTGCCGTGGCCGCGCCGTCGGGGAGCGGCGCGGCGGATGACAGGTTGCAGGGCTCGGAGGCGCCCAGGACGAGCGCCCCCGCGCCCATGCCGAGCTGCGGAGGCCGGGGGCGGGGTGCGTTGCGGGGTTGGGCCGTGTTTGGGGAACACCCCAGAGGTCGGGGCGGCTGGGCGCGCGGAGGAAGGTCGCGGCCAGGTCAGGGCAGCCGCTGAGCAGAGCCGGAGGCATGGGCGCCGGGCGCCTTCCCTGCGGGAGCCAAACTCTGTCGCCGCCGCCGCCGCCGCCGCTGCTGCTGGAGCCGCTGCCGCTGCTGGAACAGCCGCCGAGACCTCAGCATGTTTCTGAGCGCGCTGAGCCCGCAGCTCAGGCACCCAGCATCCACCCCACCCCGCTCCCACTCCCCCAAGCCAACCCCC